CCTCTATGATCTATTTTAAAAAATCAAGTCAGTTGTGAAGCCTAGCTTTCCTCCAGTGTTACAGCATAGTTACTGCACTTACCAGGCTGTCCCCCCAACACATTAAACACCACATTCCTTCCTTCCCTCCCACTGTCTACCTTTCCACTTCCGTGATATCAATGTTTAGTTTCTGAATCTAGGAGGAACTTGCAGTATTTGCCGTTATGTGCTTCATTTTTTTTTTTTTAACTTAGTGCAATGTCCTCCAGGTTCATCTGTGTTTCTCCATTTTTTTCCTGATGAATGATATTGCATTCTGTATAAATACACCACACTTCCTTTAGCCATTCATCTGGTGATGGACATCTGGGTTGAGCCCGTCTCCTGAGCATTGGGAGCGGTGCTGTAATAAACACAAGAACATAGGTGTTTCTTTGCTGTGCTGATTTCACTTCTTTTTGAGATACACCCGGTCATGGGACAGCTACATCACACAGTGGGTCTGCTCTTAGTTTTCTGAGGAACCTAGCCTCCATGCTGTTTTCTCTAAACGTGTTTTTTTTTCTTTAAAGATTTATTTGTTTTGTTTTATGTGTATGAATGTTTTGTCTACATGTATGTATACATATCATATACAGGCCTGGTGCCTGTGGAGGTCAGAAGAGGGTGTCAGATCCCTTAGAACTGGAGTTACAGAGGGTTGTGAGTTACCATGTGGGTGTTGGGAATTGAACCTCTGTCCTCTCTAAGAACAACAAGAACAATGAACTGCTGAGCCATCTTTCAGCATCATCCACACTGTTTCTTTTTTTCTTTTTAAAATAATGGTCATATCAACTTAATTTTTAGTGAGAGAGAGAGAAAGAGAGAGAGAGAGAGAGAGAGAGAGAGAGAGAGAGAGAGAGAGAGAGCTTTGCTTCTTTTAGCTGGTCCACTGGTTGTTGCTTACATACTATAATGGTTTAGTCACCCCCTGCATCATGCATATGTCACAAATTTTTATGCTACCAAAGTCAATAGTCATACAAGCCTGAACAAGAGACCACGGAGGAAAGAGTGATTTGAGGTCAAGGTGAGCTACAGGCCTGAATGTAATTAGGTAAGTGTCAAATAAGAACATGAAGCCAATGAATTTTGGATTTTCAAAAGTTGAAAATACATCACTCAAGAGTCGTCCTGGGTGACAGTTTGAATCAGCACAAGTGATGAACCACCCAGGCTTGCTTAGAACAGTGACAGTTTTAGCACTGAATTTCCTTCATTCAGGAAGATGCCTCAGTCCTGAGTAAGATTGGGTGGTTACTCACACTGTCCTTAATTGGCTGTGCACTGCCTTTTCCCGTAGAAGTTTAATACACTCTTGCCTCAGATGCATTCCTAGAGATCCTGGTTAATCTGGTCTTAGGTACTGCATGGTCTAAATAGTTCCCCCGGTGATTCATATGGGAAAGACAAGGTTAAGGCCCTCCAGTGTAGATAATATGCACTCATGAGTTTGTTCACTTTTCATTCATGTATTTTTGCATTCAAACCTATTGATGTCATGCCTTCTCAGATGACAGACATTATGCCAGTATGGACACCAAGATGAATCAGACCGAGTCCTTTGTCTTCAGACCTTACTGCTGGGAGAGGAGAAAGCTCTAGTTTAACATACCAGCTATGTGATTTACCTGCTCAACATGTACTTGTTGATTATGCTTGTTTCCGGGACTGTTTAGTTATTGCAGAGCTAATGGCCATCACCAAGGCTGCAGTCACCCGCTTTACAGAGTCCTAGTCACAGTGGGGCAACATTCAGAAAACAAGCAAAGCAGCGCACAGTGAACCTTCAGTGTGTGTTTGTGCTATAGAGGACCACTGCCACTCCCAGTGTGTTTGTGGCCTGTATCTATATAAACAAATGAGCATGTCAGCACCGCTCTGCCTTCCCAATCTCGCTTGTTGCCATGACAATATTGTACCAACTAGCTGGAGCAATCCATTGGCAGTCTATCCTCAATAATGAGGGCTGGAAACAGTGTCTTTGAGTAGCCTAGAAGGCACAAGTATTTGAGTTCTTTGGGCTCTCTGGTTGACTCCACAAAGAAAATAGAGGGTTGGAAAAATAATACCTTGAGAAATCAAAATAGGCCTGGATTCCACATAGGTCCTGACTTGAGTTTAGGGCACTCACCCATACGGCCTGCTTCCCAGGCTGGTAGGAAGGAGGCCTTGGCACCTTTGAGGAAAGCCTTTGTGAGCATGGGTGCAGGGTGAGGATGAGTGACAGGGGAGTGGCAGAGGTGTAGGATGAGTAGGCGGGAGGCATGTGAGAGATCATCCAGAAGGGGGAAGGGTCAACTTATGCTGCCCTAATGCGGGCGCGAGTTCATAGCCATATAAAATGTCAACACAGTGGTTTGACTGTTTTATCTTTCTGCAGGAGGCTGGTGAAGTTGTAAGTGCACAAACGATGGCCACGAAGAGTTCTGAAGGATGGACATTTCAGTAAAGGAACGAAGTGTGAGGAGAAGAGGGATTCAGCACACTTTGTCTGCGGCTGTATTTAAGAGTTCAGAGCAGTACGTGGTACGTAAAAGGCACGTCTTAGTCTCTATGTTAGAAGACGATGCCAGAAAGTGGCAGCTCGCTAGAATAGAGATCTATTGTTGACAGTCGGGAGACCTGAAGACCCAAGATCAAAGGCCAGCAGGTTTGGTGTCTGGTACGGGCCCCCAGTGCTTCACCTGCGTCCCTAGTGTTGGACAGTCCCGAAGCACAAGAGCAATGATGCTGGTCCTCAGACTGCCAAAGAGGAGGTCACACACGCTTCTTTAAATTAAAGGAGAAATGACCTGGTTTAAACAGGACAGAAAACGTTATGTGGTAAAGTTGCTAAGACCCACAGGAAGAACACACATTCTTTAATGTGACGCGTTAAAGAGAGCTTATGTTGCCATACATGTTACAACCACAGTGTGGGCTAAGGGTTACCCCTTCACTCTCTTCATAAGGATAGCATCCTCTCACATCACAATGGGCATGAGCATAGCGCAGGAAGATACATTTCTGTGCATATACACACTTAGAGTCTTTGTGCATTTGTGGTGGTGATGGTGGTGGTGGTTGTGTGTGTGGGTGTGTACCTGTAAATGTGGGCATGCAAGTGGAGGCTGGAGGATAACCTTGAGTATCAGTCTTTACCTTCCAGCTTGTTTGAGACAGTGTCTCTTGTTCTCTGCTGAACACAGCGAACTAGCTGGCCTATGCATTTCCAGGCTGCTGGGTTGCAGCTGTGCATGCTACCACATCCAGCTTTACATGAGCTTGGGGACCTGAAGTCAAGTCCTCACGCCTGCACATCAAGATCTTTCCCTACAGATCCACCATCCTAGGTCCAGTCAAATTATTTTGAGAGACCATGTCCATATAACTTCTATTATAGGACACTGTTATATGTATCCAGCTTTATTAGTTGTTGTACATATTAAACTTTACATTGGTATGTATGTATGTATGTATGTATGTATGTATGTATGTAAAGAAACACTATGTAATTGGACTCAGTTCCATCTGTGGTTTCAGTATGTGCTGGGGGGTCATGGAATGTGTCCTCACAGATGAAGGGCAGCTACTGTATTCAAAGTTCATCTTTTTTCCAGAAACATTTTTTTATAAAGAATATGATTCCTCTGTTAATGCAGTTTGCTCTTTTGTTATTTTCCTTAGACTATCTCTGTGTGCAGTCTATGCTAATCCACTTTTATTATTTATCATTTAATGAGTTGGGTTATAATGGGCCCAGGGTAGCATTCCAAGCTAGTTATTATTCACAACTGGAAGGCTTTCTCCTAAGCCATGCCAAAATCAAACTCCCTCCTGCAATCATGGCTTATCGACATAATCCTGCATGCATCCCACCTCCTCGATTTCTATGCTCTGGGTTGGGGTGAGGAAGGACTTGAAACTCGTGTGTCACATTTGTTCTTGCACATGCTGCTGCAGACAAAGGAGAGAAGCTGCATCCTGGGGCACTCCTCCCGTCCGGGAACAGGGTTCTGAAAGTGCACAGCTGCTGCCTTTTCTCTCACGCTCTGCCCTGCTCTCCAACATGGTTCCTGCATACGCAGATAGTTTGGAGTATATTTCTTAGTTTTGCCAAAATGGAGTTGCTTGTTTTTTCCTATTTTTGGTTAGTTAATTTCAGAGGCTTTCTAGGAATGGGAGGGGAGAATGATGAGTTTATATGGTCATGTCTGTGTTGGCAACTGGAAGGTTAGATAGATGAGAGAGGGGTCTTCAGAGAGTAGCATAGCTCTAACTGAAGGAGGAAGACAGGCAGCCAGGGATATGCTTAGCCAGAAGCAGGAGGCTCCTTTAAGAGGTCGCTGCAGAGTCTGAGTGAGAGGAGGAAGGGTAACTCAGACTAAGGATATATAAAAAGCCATATGCAAACCTACTATTTTACAAGCCTGTAAAAAATATAATCTAAAACAAGAGTGTGAACAGGTGTCCTTCATGGGTGGATAATGCTCCTACTAGAAGTTATGGGTTGTTAAATGAAAAATCCCAGTGCCAGGTGTTGGATACGTCCCTATAAACTGTTGGCCAGGGAGGCCCCCGAGGCCCCCGAAACAATACAGGCTACTGTCATTGCTCTTGATTGCCCACCAGAGTTTCATGACAGGACGCTATTGCTGAAAATAGATACTACACACTTGATCACAAGTCAGAGAAATAAAGCTGTGAATCCTGTGAGCTAAGGTGTATCCTCTAGCGTAATAGAGGCACAACTATTATAGGGATAACCAATTACTTTGTGATTGGATTTAAAGCTTGCTCCACAAGAGGAAATTCATGCCTGGCTCTGGAGATCTAATCAAGACCCTATGGCTGGGGAGGTCATAGGCCCTAGATGGAAACCTATTACTACTACTGTTGTACTAAATGGTTGTGCTCTCAAACTGCCTTCTAAACACTTATGTTTACACCCACAGATCAGTGCTGTGCCCAGCCTTCATCAACCAAGCTTCTTGCTGCTGGAGGTGGCAATGAATGCAGAAACCTGTAACTGGCTGAAGTATCAGGAATACACGGTGGTAAAATGTTTGGCCCTAAATGGGACAGTTCTACCACCCTCTCGAAGGCTCGGGGAACACTGAGGAAGAGGGGGCTGAAAATGTAAGAGCCAGAGGGTGATGAAATGTGAAGCAAAAGGCTATCTTTAGGTCGTGAACTCACTACAGCTGTGGTTTTCTGCAAAGAACAAGCTTGAGCCTGACAACATATCATCATGGATGGGGCAGGGGCTCATGTGGCCCCACCCCTCCCCCCGAAACTATTTATTGACAGTTAATGGTTTTTGGAGGAGGGGGATATCATTTTCTTCAGTGGTATAGCGACTGATACGTTGCTCTTCAGAAAATATGCCCCCCCCCCCACATTTTGGGTAGAAACTAAACACAGTGGGCTATCAAAAGGAGACGTGAAAGTATGAGGGAACGTGATGAGAAGGAGAGGTCTAGTGTGATCTGAGAGGGGAGTGGGGAAAGAAAAGGACTACAGTTCATTATGAATGTATGAAACTGTCACTCAAACAAAAAATTCTGACACAGTGTTGAGGGATGAATAACCAAAAATTGAGTATAAACATGCATGAAAATTTCAAAGAAAAAAAGAATCTGAAGGTCTGAGGTGCTAAGCAAATAATGGACCCTCTCTGAGAGTGATGGTATATAAAAACGTCAGGTGTCTCATTTGGCACAGATAGTCTTACTATAATCTGGCTTGATGGACTGGGGTGGGGATGGGCAGGATGTACTGACAGTGTGTCAGGCACAATAGTATCATGACTCCAGTGTTGAGGATGAAGCACCCGTTCCCCAAATAATGTTGAGCAACAATTTTTTTTTTCTTGTTGAGGAATTTAGACTCTTCCTTGCCTTATACAAAGGATTTTATCTGGATTAGATATGCTTTCTAGCCAGGTGTGGTGGTGCCTGCCTTTAATACTAGCCTTTGTGAGGCAGAGGCAGGTGGAGCCCTGTGAGCTCAAGGCCATCCTGCTTTATATAGTGAGATCCCAGGGCTACACAGAGAGATCCTGTCTCAGTATATGTGTATTTCCCGATTCTGTGTGCTGGTGCAGTCAGATTGATGAAGTTCTCCCTGCATTGAAGAAATTTCTCTTTGCAGAAGATAGAGACTGTTACAGGAAGCCACAACTGGCTCAAATGCAGACAACTGACCATGTGGTGCCCAACCCCAGTTGGTATGCCTACAACACAACTCCTCTATCTAAAGCTCAGGGAACATCATGGGAGAGGGGGTAAAAAGATTGTAAGAGCCAGAGGACTAGGAATCCTCTGTGAGACTGTGTCTTCTAGATATGACAGGGAAGCCACACCCATGAAATTTCAACAATATCAATGACTGGACAATGACAATACCAGTTGCCAAGCCAACATGGATGAGGGAAATCACATAGTGACCCAACCCTAGATAGAGAGCTACAAGCAATTAACGACTACTGAGAGGTGAAAAATTGAAGTCTTCCCCAGAGATGAGCCCTCTAACTGGTTATCCAAGACCAAGTGGTCAGTCCTAAAATCACTACCAACAACACTAAACAGACTTAGCAGGTTGTGTTTATATATTTATTCACACACACACACACACACACACACACACACACACACACACACAGACACACACACACGGTTTGTATATAATTTATTGGCCTCTATCTATAACATTTAAAGAATGAGAGGCCATGAATATGGGAGAGAGCTGGATGGGGTTGGGGGACATGAGAGGGATTGGAAAGAAGAGAGGAAAGGAAAAATGATGTAATGGTAGGTATTTTAACTAAAAGATGCTTTCTGTAGTTTCATCTAGCATCCCTTTTATTTTGTTTATAGATGTTGCAACCAAATTCAATAGAGTCTCAATCAGCACAAATCCACCTGCCCTTTCATTAAAAGACATCAGCTTCTCTAACTACATGTAGATCAGTAATGCCGGAGGAAACTAACTAGCTGGAAAGCCCTACCACATGACTTAGGTTGCTAGGATACACCTTCAATCTTCTCCCCAAATAGAGATTGCTACTCAGAAGCCTCCCTCAAGAATATGGCTGCCTCGTGGAGAAAGACTGAATTCAAAGCGGGAAATACACACACACACACACACACACACACACACACACACACACACACACACACACACACAGAGATGGGGTTTGTATATAATTTATTGGCCTCTCTATTTTATTGCCTCGAATGATAACTATCTTCTCTTGGTAAAAATAACTTTAAGTGAATCTCAGGAGAAGGCTAAATTGGATCAGGAAAGACCAAATTATTTTTAGCTGAAGGGATCCCATTTTTATATGTGAGAGACAAAACAAAGCTACCTGAAGGAAGATAGGGTAACTTCCTTGGGTTACAGTGAAAAAGAAAGCTAATACTTAGCATTTCCTTTACCCACAACAGCCAGCACAGTTTCTGAGAATTCATATATTGAATTTTAACAACGACCCACAAGGTGCTTTTACTCCAACTTTACAGATGAGGGAATCCAGGCACAGAAACGTGTCTATGTTGCAGTAGCCAGGAAATGTCAGAGGTGAGATTCAAACCCAGGCAGCCCCCACCATCAGTTGTTTTTTGACAAAGAGTTTCACTGTGCAGCCAAAACTGGCCGCAAACTTGAGAGTCTGCTGCCTCTGTCTATAGGGTTACAGCCACAGTCACCATGTCGGCTTCCTCCTAAATTCTTACTTCATTTTCCTGCCTGTGCAGATGAGGCATGGGACAGAGGAACCTTCAGGGATGAGACTGGGATTTCTAGCTGGTTTCATTTATTCAAGAAATTTTACTGACCTCCTGTTCTCTGCCAGCCTTTATTGTAGACACCATGGACACAGGGTGAACCAAAATCTCTGCCTTCAATGGAGAGAACTCCCATATATTTACATATATATTTCTTCCTTTTCCTTTTGGTTTTATTAGAGAGTTTCCTGTTTGGATAGAGTCCTTTGAATGACCAATTAATGCACTATGACACTTTCTGAAATGGCATCAAATAACCCCAGCATTCTTTTCCTTTGAAATAGCAAATACTGCTTCTAAATGGTTTCCACCCATCCCTGTCAGCCCCATTCATTTCAAACATTCCATCTTGATGGCCATCCCTCCCCAGTCATTGTAAATACACCTCCTGCTTTAAATCATCATGCAGTGAAGATGAGTCCATACAAACCAGCAGTTCAGATAGTATTTATTTTATAAAATGTTTTTTCATAAAGTGTTTGCCATTTTCCCTAGATAGGAATTTGCATATAGATATATAAATAAGATATAGTTCTAATAATGTAAGTACATCTTATGAGGTTACTGATTAGGTAAAATGATTTATACCTGGGTGGGGAAAATGAACCTTCTTTGGATTTTGTTATATATGTTATTTAATTTTTCTGTCTTAATAAGTCTTTTAAATTGTACATTTTCCTTAAACTGAAACTGTTCTGAAGAAGCTATCATATTTTCATTGTCTAATTCTTCAAGCTGCTATGTAGAATAGGCTTGGGTTTGTGTGTAGCCTTCTCCCAGCATTCTGAATGGCAGCACTACATTTCAAATGCCTTCATAATGTGTCTTTCCTGAGCCCAGGGGTCGTTTACATTTGAACTTTTAAATTATTTTGTTTATATCTTATGATCTCTAATTATGCAATATTTTGATACTGCTTTTAAATATCTCTGAAGACTTTGCAGCATAGAAAACCCTGCCTTATATATAAAGATGCCCCAAGAATTAGACCATCTTTGATCGGGCCAACACTCTGAACTCTTAGAGAACTGAGATCCCAGCCCGATGGATACTTCTTGCTTCAATTTTGGCCCTTGACATAGCAGGTGAGTAGCAATTACATTTATAGGCTATAACTTCTTTTGCTCAATGAGAATGAACACTGAGCTGATTTATTATCCACAGCACTTGGGAAAACCAAGTAACTACTATCTGTCTTAAAAGATGGGTTTGCAGATTAAATAGACTGATAAATGGAAACTGATGATTTGTCAAAGCATTATGCCACACAGGATTTTAAAAAGAAGTCGGGAACCATCTATTTTCTGCCCCCAAGAAACACATCTTACCACCAAAGACAGACTATCTTAGAAAAAGGGGTTTCCAGGAAACAGACTTAGGAAGTTAGAACTATTCTAACACCCGAAAAAAAAATAAGTTTTAATTCAAAACTGGAAAGAAAAGATAAAGATGGACACTTCATAACAATTAATGGAAAGATTCATTGAAAGGACATTACTATTTAAACATATATACACTGAACATAGGTGTGCCCAATTATTTAAAATGAATACTAGTAGATGTAAGTCACAGATTAACTCTAGCACAGTATAGTGGACACTTCAATATCTCATTCTTACCAGCTGATAGGTCTTCCTGATAAAAATTAAACAATAAAATATATGAATTATATGACACCATGGATCAATCGAATGTAAAAGACTCTACAGAACATCTCATTCAAATGTAGAATACATGGTCTTTTGAGCAGCCCACGGAACATTCTCTATAATAGGTCATATGTCAGAGCACAAAGCAAGTCTTAATAAATATGGGAAAGCTGAAATAATTCCTTTAATTCTGCCTGATCACAATGGAAAAAGACTACAAATCAATAGCAACATAAACCCTAGAACACATACAAACTCACAGAGATCAAACAACACTATTGAGTGATGAATGAGTTCTTGAATAAATCAGGATGGCCATAAAAGAATTTCTAGAATCAAATGAAAATAAAAACACAGCATATAAAAACATATGGGAAAGCCGGGCGTCGGTGGCGCACGCCTTTAATCCCAGCACTCGGGAGGCAGAGCCAGGCGGATCTCTGTGAGTTCGAGGCCAGCCTGGGCTACCAAGTGAGCTCCAGGAAAGGCGCAAAGCTACACAGAGAAACCCTGTCTCGAAAAACCAAAAAAACAAAAAAAACAAAAAAAACATATGGGATACAATGAAAGCAGTCCTAAGAGTGTAATTTATAGATTTTACTGTCTACATTAAGAAACCAGAAAGGGGGCTGGAGAGCTGGCTTAGTGGTTAAGAGCACCAATTGCTCTTCCAGAGGACCCAGGTTCACTTCCCAGCATCCGTATGGCAGCTAACAATTGTCTATAACTCCAAGATCTGATACCCTCACACAGACATACATGGAGGCAAAACACCAATGCACATAAAATAAAATAAATAATTATTGAAAAAAGAAACCAGAAAGATTTCAAGTAATAACCTAATGATACACCTTAGGTCCCTAGAAAAATCAGATCAGTAGATAGAAAAAAGTCCTTAAAAAATCAAAGTAGAAATTAATGAAATAGAAACAAGATAGTAAATATAGACAATACAGAGAATTAAACAAAGAACTACTTCTTTGAAAAGATAAACAAGATTGACAAACCCTTAGACAAAAGAGAAGATGCAAATTTACATAATTAGAGATAGAAAAGAAAAATCTAAATAACATAGTCTACTAAACTGGAGAATTTAAAAGAAATTGATGGATTTCTGAATATATATGACCTACTAAAATTAAACCAAAATGAGATAACATATAAAGATTTTATTTACTTATTTTTTGTGTATATCAGTATGTTGCTTGTATGTTAATGGAAGCCAGAAGAGAGTGTTGAATTCCCCAGAACAAGAGTTACAGATGGCTGTGAGTCATCCCACAGGTACTGGGGGCCGAATGCAGGTTCTCTGCAAAAGCATCAAGTGTTAAGCACTGGGCAATCTCTTCAGCCCTGAGATAAACAATTTAAACAGATCCATAAAAAACAGTTAATATTGAAGGTGTAGCCAAGAGTGGTGGCACACACCTTTAATCCTAGCACTTGGGAGCCAGAGGCAAGTGGATCTGAGTTTGAGGCCAGCCTGGTCTACAAAGTGAGTTCCAGGACAGCCAGGACTGTTACACAGAGAAACCCTGTTTCAAAAAACAAAACAAATGAACAAATTGAAGAAGTAACTAAAAACTCTCCCTACTAAAAAAGTCAAGGCTCAAATGGATTCACTGGTGAAGTTTTTCCAGGCCATGCTGGAAGTCTTAGCTATCGGAAGGAAGAAGATAAAAGGATGCAATCAGGAAATGAAGACATGAAAGTGTGTGAAATACCTCCTCTGCCACAAAAACTTAAAGACAGGAGAAAGAAATTGAAGACACCAAAAGATGGAAAGACCTCCCTGCTCATGGATCAGAAGAATCAATAGTGGGAAAATGGCTATCCTAACAAAAGCAATCTATAGATTCAAAGTATTCCTAATCAAAATTCCAGTGATTTTCCTCACAGAAAGAGAAGGAAATTGTAAAGCTCACGTGAAAGCACAAAAGACCCTGGCTAGATAAAGCAATCCTGAGCAAGAAGGGCTATTACCTGTTCCTGGAGGTATCACTATGTACAACTTCAAATTATACTACAAAACCATAGTATAAAAACATTGTGATACTGCTACAAAAACAGAAATGTAGATCAATGAAACACATTAGAGGAACGAGATACAGCTGCCTGATTTTTGACAAAAGCATACATTAGAGAAAAGACAGTGTCATCAGTAATATTGCTAGAAAATACTTCAAGATACAGGCATAGATAAGTACTTTATGAATAAGTCTCTGATTGCTCAGGACATAAGACTAATAATTGACAAATTAGACTTCATGAAATTAAAAGACTTCTATATAGAAAAAGAAACTGCCAATTGTAGCACAAATTCTAATTGGCTTTAATAAAAACCTGGAGTTAGATGTTGGCGTAAATGCTGAAAACCAGAGAGACAAAGGAACAAGTGACAGCCACCTCTCACCTCACCAACTATTCAGCCAAAAAAACTGAGCTCCTGTCTCCTCCAGCCTTATATTCCACTCTTTGCCCAGCCAGATCACTTCCTGTCTCAATCTCCCTAGTCCTGGAATTAAAGGCATGTGTGCCTCCCAAGTACTGGGAACAAAGGCATTGAGATCCCAAATGCTGGGATTAAAGATGTGTGTCTCCACTGCCTGGCCTCTATGGCTAACTAATGGCTAGCTTTGCCTATGATCTTCAGGCAAGCTTTTTTAGAGCATACACAAAATATCACCACAGCCAATCAAGTGAAAAGTCACCCTATAAAATGGGAGAAATATCTCTGATAGCTATATATATATATCTGATAGAAGATCAGTATCTAGAATATACGAAGAACTCAAGAAAATGAATATCAAAGAAACAAGTAAAAAAAGGACCACAGAACTGAACAGAGAGTTCTCAAAGGAAAAGTACAAATGGCTAACAACATTTAAAAAGTGCTCAACATCATAATCCACAAGGGAAATATAAATTTAAACTACTTTGAGGTTCCTTTACACTCTACTCAGCATTGATTTCATCATGTGGGTAAATGACAGCCAATGCTGATGAGGAACTAAATCCTTATCCACTATAGGTGGGAGTGTACATTGGTGCAGCCACCATGGAATACAGTGTAGCCTCATTGCTCCCATAAACTCACAGCAGCATATGGTTTCCTGCACAGGAATTGCATAAAACTAATCCAGTCAATTTCCAAGCATGGTTGGCAGAAGGACTCAAGACGTTCTCCTTCTAGCTGAAGAGCAAGTACTCACTGTCGGGGGAAGGATTGTTTTTCTTCAATGTTCTGGCTATGAGGACATGAAGCTAAGAGGGGGAAATGTTGGGGAGATCTGGGAGGGTAACAAGGAGTTTGGGTTGGATATGATAAAGATATACTATATTAATATATGAAATTGTGAACAGATAAAATATTCTAAGAAAGAGCTATACAAAGATTTTTTAATGTCATATGTACTCGATAACAACTATTATCAAATTAACAATCATAATTTAATAAATATGCCAGTTGGGAATGCTATTGTGTGTAGAGCATTCATAGATGGAGAATTTATGAGTTGGACCATCATTACAGTGTTTTCTGTGATCAATGTGAATGACTGGCTGCCATAGACTCTTCACAAAATGATACTACATGATAAGGGAGAATTCTGAATATTACGTTTGGATGGTCCTTAGGTTTCCCTGGGCTTATGCATGTCAGAATTGTCAATTTATATTAGGAGCGATTCTCTAACAGAGCATGGGGTGTCAATCAAATCTACCATTCAGCTTTCTTTTCAGCTTCTATTCTGAGTGAGCTGAAGCTTGTCAAGGTTAAGATAAACACCTGAGGAGGTAAAGTGTGAGAGTTTGAAAACAGATGGAGACACTATGTTATATTGTAAGATGGTATTATCTTTAGGAATGTAATTTTGGATGTGCATTCATCTGTCTTGTTTAGGTTGTGGACACTGGAAATTCTCCATATGAGCCACAGCCACCCCTATTTGGATGACTTCTCCGGCAGTATCCTCAAGGCTGCCTGGTACAAGAGGACATGTAGGTTTGATGGTCTATGGTGGCCCAGGGTTGCAAGCAGCCAATGGAACTGTTTCACCTGTCCTGGTGACCAGTCAGCTGTCTTCACTGGCCATGGCTGGCTGAAGGAACTGTGAGTCCCTTCTCTTAACTACTGTGTCTTTCCTGACTTCTCCATCTGGACTTCTCCATCACTTGAGCTCCTTCATTTCCTCATTCCTTGGGCTAGGGATGACAAGAGGGGGTAATTGAACTTTGGTTTGATTTTCCTCTTATTGATTGGGCTCTGTTGTTTTTTAGTGGAAAGTCTACTCACTTTGAAGAAGGGTTTCTACTTTTGATTATGAAGCTGAGTATTAGTCTTTTGTAAACCAAAGCTGTAATAACAACCTCACAAAGTCAGGAATTTAAATTTGTACTCACTCTCTTTGGTGATAGGTATGCCAAGAGTTTCTACAATGAACATTGCCCTTATGTCCTTAGGTCCCAATAATATATGCAAGTAGAAAGGATGAATGAGTTCTATGGTTTATGATTAATGATATTGTAAAGCTCTGTGTTTTTCTCTTTCTAAACATTCACTTAAACAAATGTGTTCTCTTTGTTGTGCCCTTTCTGCAGCACAAGAAGCCAATAAATACTTCACCAGGCCCCTGTTTGTTAACAGAAAACCATGGAAAAGTGTTCCTGTTGCATGCACAACAGGCAAAATAGAGAAACATAATTGATGTGAGATGGAGAGTAGAATAAAAATTCTTACGCTTGGGCTGATTATTTGTTATATGTCAAAAAAAATTTGTTTCTACAGCTGTGTGAATAAAATTTCTGCTATTACCAGCAAGGTACTATAGAAACCTATGCCCCAGGGTTCTGGGGGTATTTTCTGGAATTATTACATTGATTCCCCCCTTTTTTTTCTTTTCTCTTTTCTTTTACTCACTCTGTATCTTCCTCTGGGTGCCATGGAAGGCAATGGCAATATGTGATTCGTTTGTACTAAAGTTGCACATTGCAAAGTTGAGCCATTGATTCCTCTCAGGTTTGCTATGAAAATCTCTACTCTCATTGTCTCAGGAGGCCAAGGTCTCAATATCCAATATGCATTTGCTTATTTAGTTTCCTGTCCCCAGCCTCCTTTCAGAACTGTATTCCAGCCTGCTTTTAGCATCTGTTCCTCTATACCAGAAAATCTGTTTTGGCTTCTTCAGAGAATAAGTCTTTTCTTTTCAGTTGGAGAGGGTTTTGCAGAGTGGGGGAAGACATGGCATGCTGGCCACATCTTAAAAAAGACTTAACAAATTCTTTCATATTTTTCCTCCCAAGTGTTTCCTTTTGAATTTCTGGTTGTCCCAAATTCTGGGACTTTTGGGCACCACAAAGTGTAAATCAGCTTGATGCTAGCTTAGAATTCAATTTTCTTTTCCGGTCTGCTATTTTTCATTTTTCCCCCCATCTGTTCTCATCTTACAGCTATAGAAACCATATACCTCAGTCCTAGTCTCATCTCATTGGTCACAACATGGTCACATGGTTCTAATGTCTCTACAAAAGAATCTGAGGTATTGAGCTTCCTCCACCCTTAAAGAGGATGATCAGTACAGGAAGCATAAAATGCAGCTTCTGACCTAATGCTTTTTTTTTTTTTTTAAAGATTTATTTATTTATTAAGCATACAGTATTCTGTCTGCACATATCCCTGCAGGCCAGAAGAGGGCACCAGATCTCATTATAGATGGTTGTGAGGCACCATGTGGTTGCTGGGAATTGAACTCAGGACCTTTGGAAGAAGAAGCAGTGCTCTTAACCTCTGAGCCATCTCTCCAGCCCCTGACCTAATGCTTTTAATTAAGACCTCACAGTCTTGTTTTAAATGCGTTTACTAGCAAGTCATGGTAGATTCAGTGGGCACATTTGTCAGTCTCTCTGTGTTTTGTCATGTACCAAAAAAGCTGTAGTTGTCATTGACTGTCTGAAAACACATAAAAATGGGGCACTGTTTAATATCTGGTCCTGGTCATAGATCTTAATATGCAGAGCAAGTGTGAGTGACTCAGAGAATCTGGGTTTGTGTCCAGATTCTACCAACTTCTAGCTGTGTGATCTTGGTCAAAAGCTTAGTTTTTTGTTCTCCAGTGTCACTGATGGTCCTTTCCCTGTGGTCATCTTGTAAAGATTAAGGTAGTTAATACTCAGAAATGTGACCACTTATGTATTAGTTGTGATTATTATATGCTAGTTTTATCATCGATATTGACATAGGCAGAGGGAGACAAGGACTTAGCTTGAGGGTGATGGCTTTATCTGAGTGCTCATTGTATTTAACTGAGTTGTACCAGAGAGGTAGCTGTGCACTATAGGAGAATAACCTGTGTACTCCAAAGAACCCCGAGTCTAAGAGTTCAGCTAGAGTTGTCATTTATATACCATTGTAGATGTGACATGTAGGTGGTTTCATGTACACATCTCCCCCATTCAGTCTCTTGACTCTGGAAGATCCAGCTTTTGTCAGATCCCTGCACTCTTTCCTGGCTCCTAGAAATGCCCTCCCAATTCCCAGAACACTCCATCATTATGTGTGTAGATTTGGCAGAAATTCTTCTCATCCTCCAAGTCCTGCCCGATTCCTGAGTTTGATGCACTCAACTGCTCCGTTGACTTCTCCTTCCCTTAAAAGGAAGGCTTTTGCTTCAGTAAGTCTGTTTAGGTTCAGGACCTCTTTGTCTACCCTTGAATATTTTTTTCAATGAGGTCAAGAACTTCTGGAGCAACAGAGTCAAATGACACCATCATTTTTTTTTTTTGTTATTTGTATACACTACATATTTTGAAATTGTGTTGCTCTAGTCCATATGATCATATAATTGACACTAGGCAGTGACTGATTGTACAATTGATGCTGATTAGTGGTTCTTAAATAAATCAAGAAGGAAAAGGCATGACTCCTTAGCCCTGCTGGGAAGTCACAGCAATGAGTTCCTCACTATTGGAGAGCTGTTCAGCAGTAGTGGATTTGTGGTGAACTTTCCTGGGCCATGTCAGAGGCTTGCATGCTGTGATTGTTTGAATGAGAGTGGCCTCCATAGGCTCAAATATGTGAGTGCTTGGTCCGCAGTTGGTGGAACTGTTTGGGAAGGATTAGGAGGCATGGCCTTGCCAGAGGAAGTGTGTCACTTAAGAGTGGGTTTTGAGGTTTAAAAAGTCCACACCATTCCTAGTTTCTCTCTGTCTCTGTCTCTGCCTCCCGCTTGTGGATTAGATGTGAACTGTTAGCTACTATCCAGTGCTATGCCTGGTCATAGACTCTACTACCCTCTGGAACTATGAACCCCTGCTGTGGGATGGTCTGTATGTCAAATTGCTCTGACTGGTCAATAAATAAAACACTGATTGGCCAGTGGTCAGGCAGGAAGTAGGTGGGACAAGGAGAGAGGAGAATTCTGGGAAGCGGAAGGCTGAGGCAGAGAGAGACACTGCGAGCCCCCGCCATGACCAGCAGCAAGTGAAGACACCGGTAAACCACCAGCCACGTGGCAAGGTATAGATTTATGGAAATGGATTAATTTAAGCTATAAGAACAGTTAGCAAGAAGCCTGCCATGGCCATACAGTTTGTATGCATTATAAGTCTCTGTGTTTACTTGGTTGGGTCTGAGCGGAAAACCCTAGCTACAAACCCCCAAATAAATGCTTTCTTTTATAAATTGCCCTGGTCAATGTTGTCTCTTCTCAGCAATGAGAAAGTAACTAAGACAGATGTATTACAAAGTGAAAGGATGTTTAGTTTCTGAGGAAAAAGTGACAGGGTCTACTACATTAGTATTTAGAAATGACCACATGGTGCTAAGAAAGAGTAAGAGACCCGGGCTTATGTTGACCCTGACACCATTTCTTCTTCCAAACACCAACCAAGGCACAGAGCAGTTGCATCTGGAGTAAGGAGTAAAGTACAAACTGGGGAGGTACTGCTCTGCTTGAAAGGAGAAAAGTTCACTTCATTCTTCGAGGGAAGAGTGAAAAGCAAGCAAGCAATGTGAGCAGGAGTGTTGGAACCTGAGAGATGCTGTGATCCTGGGAAGTCACATGGAGGGGCCACAGGGAGTCCTGGGTAAAGTACCTAAGAATGTAAATCTTAGAGATGCTATTCAGTTTGCGGTCATTTGTGTTACCGACAAGTAAACTTCTTTTCTATCCATGGTTGTTTCTAGAAAACTCTACAGTTTATGAAATGCCCTGTAAAGTAAGTTTCATTTTTTTGTTTTCATTTTGAAGTTGGAAGGGCCAAGTTTTGCATTTTGATTTCTTTGACGAAGAAAAGAAATAAGACATGGAATTAAGAGCTAGAAGGCAGGGGTGAACAAGAGAATGGAAGGAAGTTTTTCAGCTACGCTAAAGAGTATGTCGTATTTGTTGGTCATTGACCTGAGAGGATAGAGCTCTCTTCAATGACTTTCACAGGTAAGGGTTCCATAGTTTATACCTGAGCTATTTATGTGACTTTGGCTAATATTTATTAAATTCCTGCTATTTGTGAGCAATTTTGCTGGATGTTGAGAGAGGGAGGAAGAGGGCGGGGGGATACACACAGCATACAAGCACCTGAGCAGAATCCATTTTCTCTGGAAACTTGGTAATTACCAGGGACATTTGTAGCCAGGGTCCCAATATTCTGACTGCTCATCCTTGGTTAATTCCAGTGGTACCACCATCATTACCAATTCCTCTCACCTTCATGCCCAAAAAAGTGCCAGTTTGGAGATAAATTATCTGATAATCATTCCAAAGAGCTGTAGAGATTTAATGACAAAATTTCTATGGAAAACTTTCTGTGAATCACAAAGTTTTATCTGAATGAAAGGGACAAAAGTATTTGAGTTCTTTTATAGCATTCTGCTGTGGGATGGTCTGTATGTCAAATTGCTCTGATTGGTCAATAAATAAAACACTGATTGGCCAGTGGCCAGGCAGGAAATATAGGCGGGACTAACAGAGAGGAGAATTGAGAGAACAGGAAGGCTGAGGGAGACACTGCCAGCCGCCACCATAACAAGCAGCATGTGAAGATGCCGGTAAGCAATGAGCCACGTGGCAAGGTATAGATTTATAGAAATGGATTGATTTAAGATGTAATAACTAGATAGCTAGAAGCCTGAGCCATTAGGCCAAACATTTTAAACAATATAAGTCTCTGTGTTTACTTGGTTGGATCTGAGCGGCTGTGGGACTGGTAGGTGACAGAGATTTGTCCTGACTGTGGGCCAGGCAGGAAAACTCTAGCTACAGCATTCCCTGGTGGAGATAGACAGGAGTGTCTAAAATTGCTGTCTACCATAGACCGTGTTATTGCTCTTAGTCTTCTCAATTTTTCATGAGAATAAGCTTGCCATAAGTGAATTTTTATTTGAAAGTAGGTTAGTCTGTGCTTCATCATTTTCTAGGTTCTTTCCTTCATGCTACATTCAGGACCCCCATCTGTATACTAGATGTTTTCTTCATTTTACCTTAAATGAATACTTTGAAATTTATGGAGTCTTTCATATTTAACATGTTATAATTCTGATGGGTTTGAGCATGGAAGGTCAAAACCTCCTCGGAATTTTTAAAACCTGCTTTTGAATGGAAAAGACTATATAGTAAATGTGAATCATGAGGGAAGGCAGGGAGACAGCCTCAGAGAGAATCCAGAGCAACCTCCTCAGATGTCCTTTACATCAACCCACACAAGAAAGGTGCCACCAGGCCAGCAAATACACATTACCTTCCTCCTA